TCTGTATCCCTCAGGAGTCCAGCTAGCCTTTATAATATGTTACAGATTGGGCACTGAAACTCAGAAGAGAACAATGCAGACCACCATACCCCTCACCTGTTCAGGATCAGGCAGTGGATGGGGAGAAATTAAGGATTCACAAACATTTAATGGGCTGTTACTCTGAATCAGAGTATGAGAAACTAACAGAATAATGCAGTTGAGCAGAAGGCACTCTAATGACAGGCTAAAGAGTAGCTGTAGCCTTACGGGTCACTCTGGAAGAAACCTCACGGACAAACCAACACAGTGTTCACCAGACAGTGGCAGAGTGGCTTCAGCAACTCAGGCGTCAGGCAGCCTTAGCTGGCAGCCCAGCAGCCACCGAGCCATGACAGTCTACCAAAAACCCAGGCTGCATTCAGGTGCCTGAAGTGTGACCACTCATATTTCAATCTTTTTACCACAGTTGCCACAAAATAATAATTCAGTCCAAGAGTCAAATTCAAATCAAAGATCTCTCTTTCTCTGTCTCTCTCTCTCACAGACACACACACAGTCTTAACTAGAATGTTTAAAAATATCTTGTAACGTTTGCTTAGTAAATAAAGCTGTATTAACTGAAATCGTTCATATCCAGAGAAAGGACCAGCTTTGCCAGCAGATTGGGTATCATAAATATTTGGCAATTTGGAAAAAACACAGAAATGTAAGCTCAGCTACAACAAGAGGAAGAGGATTTTTTGAGCCAAAAGATCTTGGTCACCATAAAGACCATCAGGGACACCATCTTCCTGGCGATAAGTGCTAAGAGGTCTAAGAGAAGCCTTTTAAGCCTGTATATCCTACATTCTCAGGAAAGACCCATACTTTTGTGTGGATGAGAGTCAGTATATTAAAGGGGTAAATTGAATAAAATGTAAAAGAGTTTGGCATCACCTGACATAGTATGGGCTCTGCTTAATGTTCCTACTTTTTCTCCCTTCCACCCAAGGTAATTCCCTTTTTAAGTATTGCTTCTTACTATAGATGACAACGTTTTGTCCCTAGCTAAAAGGATTCCAGGCACCAGCAGCAGGAGTGGAGAAGATTATTTTTTTGTATAGGATACCCTTCCTAGAGTTCCTCAATCTATGCACATGGGCAGACTTTTCTTCTACCAGATAAACTTAACTTGCTAAGAATTTGCTTGAAACTGTGTCCCACATGATTGGACCTACCCAGGACCTCTCAGACCCCATATACCAGTTCTGTGCACTCATCCCCAGCTTCTGCTTGTTTTGCTGCTAACTGCTAGCATTGCCACTTTAGAGGCTCACCCATGGACAGAGCCAGAAGAGCCTCAGAGCTCTATTCCTCCCTAAAGCAGCAATGGCTGAAAAACATGGGTGTAGAAAAGCCCAGACCCCCTTGTCTAGAGATGTGATAAACTTCTAAGTGTAATTTATGCTCCCAAATTTCTCAAAAGCTCAGATTGAAGTTGGAATCACCTAAAATTTCACACTTGCTTGGCTTCTTCTCTTTCTATGTTCTACATTCCCACTCCTTACTGGTTCTCCTGGGAGCACATGTTTAATAAGTCACTGGCACAAAATCCTTGGCTCTGGATCTAAGGTTGGGAATACAGAGCCTAAAATAGTCATTATCATTCATTCATTCATTCATTCACTCAGGAAAGCACACTCAAGTGTCTAAGTGCTTTTCCCAGTCTAGCAAAGAAGAGTGATATATAGTTAGCTGAAAGGTAGCCGTGGATATTCTCAAGGTATTCTGTGGACCATTTAAAGACTACACATTTCTAGAGCCAAAGGGAACTTTTTTTAAAGATTTTATTTATTTATTTTTGGAGAGGGAAGGGAGGGAGATAGAGAGAGAGAGAGAAACATCAATGTGCAGTTGCTGGGGGTCATGGCCTGCAACCCAGGCATGTACCCTGACTGGGAATCAAACCTGTGATACTTTGGTTCGCAGCCCGCGCTCAATCCACTGAGCTACGCCAGCCAGGGCTGGAAACTTTTAAAATATGACTATATCATCAGATCTTGTAAAATACCTTACACCTAGTAAGATCTTAAGTGTGGGACAAGATTGGGTCAGTCCTTGGCTTCATAATATTGACTGTTGAGGAGAACCAATCAATTGCTTAGAATTCTATTTAATTCACAAACATTTATTGGGCTCTTGCTCTGAATCAGAATATGAAAAACTGACAGACTAATAAGTACAATGCAATAAGTACATCTTGACTAATGTATACAACACTATGGAAATATGATAGGAGGAATGATATTTTCCCAAGAAAATGAAAGGCTGAGTCTCAGAGGATAAGTTGAATAAATTCTGGACAGAAGTAAAGAGGGCATTTTAGAAAAGGAAAAGCAAACTCTACAGCAACTAGGTGATAAAAAGCATTGGCGGATTTCTTGAAGAGTGAGTAGTTTAGTGACTCAACACAAGTTTCCATGAAGAGGAGAGGCAGGAGATAAACCTGGAGGTCTAGATTAGAGACACTCAGTGGCGGGCCTTAGCTACTTTAGAATTTTATCCTGTAGTGTGGGGAAGCTTCAAAGATATTTGAGGATGTCAAGGTTTGCCTTAGAAACAATATGAAGGATGTGTTTGAGTGAAGACTCCAGTGAGAAACATTTGTTAGGAGGCTGTCATTAGGTTAAATCATATATAATTTCCAATATCCAACCATTTTGACCCAACAAAAATGAGTTTCATAAAGTTCAAAATAATACACTAGCCAAGAAGAATAAGGAACAAAGACTGGAGACAAGGAATAAAAATAAAAGAGACATATAAGAAAGAAAATTGGCATAAAATGAGTGATCCACGGTATGCAGGGGAGAGCAAATTGCAGAAATTAGATGTGATAGTGAAGGAAATTTTTCTCATGAAAGTGATGGAGGGAATTATGAAAAGTATGCACAAAGAAAACAGGACTCCCTCCTGGCCAGGTATCTGGGTTGGAGCATTGTCATGTACACCAGAAGTTTGCAGGTTTGATTCCTGGTCAGGTCATATACCTAGGTTGCAGGTTCAGTCCCTAGTGGGGGCGTGTATGGGAGGCAACCAATCGATGTTTCTCTCTCTCCCTTCCTCTCTCTCTCTCTAAAACCAATAAACATATCCTCAGGTGAGAACAAAAAAAAAAAAAAAGAAAATAAAAGAAAAGCAAAGAGGGCTCACTGGAGAAGTGATGGGGATCCTCATAGGAGACTTCAGCACTCCCGGCCCTTCACGTATTACCTTGCAGTGCCTCATTTTTTGTTGCTTCTTTTTCTGCTACTTGACATTGTGTGGCCCATGATATTCAAATTCCTATGGTTGTATCTGCTTCTAAAGTTGAGCCTACAAATAATGCAATCCCAAGTGCATTTACTTAGCTAAAACAGGCCACTAAATAAAAATAAAAGTAGAATAATAACAAGAAGAGAAACCTGGTAGTCTTTTAGTGCAGGTAACCTGATCTAACCAGATCATTCTTTAACATGTGAAGGGTGTTCTCATACAAGGGCATACAGGGGATTCTGAAAGTCTCAGAGAATAAATAGGAACACCTGTTTGTTTTTCCTGTTCTGACCTCAACTCTTCCAGGACCACACTATTTCTATAAAAGGTGCCACTAAAAATTTTCTGTTTGCTCTGGCATAGATGTTGGCTAAAGTGTAATTTTTGTTGCAAAGAAGACATGCCATTTTATTTTCCTTCAAAACACACTACCTTCCTAAAACAGAAATTATTTATTTGCTTGATACATTCAAGAACCAGAGAACCACATGTCTGTCTGGACATCTTATGTAATATTATTCCACTTGGGATAGGAATGCTGTTTAAAATGGTGTTAATTAAACTTTGGAGAAAAAAAAAGATTCTAGGAATCCAACAAAAAGATTGAGTAAAGAAACATTGAATTTATTTCTGTCTGCTTTTTCTCATAACAATTTTTTGTAAGAATTTAATTTTAATCTGCTATTTCTTAGAATTACTGAGAAATGTATTAAAAAGAAATGTTTTTCAGGTATTTTTTCTTAATATTTTTATGGCATCCAATGAGGTTAAGCCAGTATTTGGAGAATCCTGCTGAGGGACTGGCTTCAGGGCCATTTACACCACAAACACTTGTTGACTGTGACCTACAGTGCCAGACACTGTGGTAACTACTGGAGACACAGTGGTAAACAAAACCAGGGGTGGTTTCTCCTCTCAGGATACTTGCAGTTTAGAGATAATGACAAACATTAAAAAATAATTGCACAAATAACTATGCATTTCAAACTACCATGAGTTCATGAAGAGAAAATATTTGATATTACATAGTGGGGGATTAAGTCCTAGTCACCAGAATGTTCTCTGAGAAAATGATTTTTTCAAGTTGAGCTCTGAAAAATGATGGAAAGTCAGCCAGGTGATGAGGGAAAGGAAGAGCACTTTAGGTGGAAGACGTTTCCAGTCCAAAGCCCTCAGGTAGGAAGGAAGATGGCACTCCTCATGCAGCTCATAGAGGACTAGTGTGGCTTGAGCACACAAGAGCAAAGGACAAAAGTTTCAAAACAAAGCTGGAATTGCAGCCAGAGGCTACATCAAACAGGACTTTGGAGGTCATATTAAGAATTCTGGTCCTTATCCTAAGTTCAACAGGAAGTCACTGAGAGCTGGAGGGTGGTGGAGTTAGATTTATCTACACCAATCATTTGAAGTCAGTGAGTTTTTAATCAGCATTTAGCAAGTGCTGTGTAACAGCTCTAGGGATTTAGAATTCATCTTAGACATGGCCTCTCTCTCAAGTCATATCTGGTATGGAAGTTTGGGAGGAAATAGAGTGTGGGCTAAAGCACAGAGGCAGGAATGAGATAGTCTTGGGAAGAGAATAGCCAAAGCATCTTTACTTAGCCAATGGGAGCTAATGTACAGAGTTTGGTTTTTTGCTTTTCTATGCAAATGTTCGAGAAAGTGTCATCTGACCAAAGGAGATGTAATCAATAATTCTGTCCACTGAAACCCTTTGTTCACAGATCAGGAACCACACAAAGAACTGTGCATCCAGCTCCATCTCTTTACCCCACCAGTGCACCTCAACCTTGATGTGGAGTGACCACTTGGAAAGGTGAGATTCAGAAGCTGTCTAGATTTACAGCATAGCTGACCATGTCTCCCTGTTCTGATCTGAGTTTGTGTTACAACAGCAGACTATCTCTAAGAATAAAATGGAGATTAAGCACACATATTAAGGATTAAGGAGGATTAGATTCCTTAGAAGAGCTTTTGTTTTTTTAGTAACTTCATATAAATTTCCTCCAACTATGAACTTTCTGAAATTGGATCCAGTCTGATCTTGTGACTGATCAATTTTCATGTCACTGATTTCCGTAGTAAGAATAGTTTCAGAGAGCATTTTAAAGAGAAGCTACCCTTGTTTTAATTAGACAGCAGGACTTGGCAAGGTTAGCATCCTCTTGCTTCACCTTCTGATTAGATGTATTTATTTTTCTGATGCCATTTTTATTTTAAATTTCACTGAGAAGACAAAGTAAGATGTCAGCAAGACAGTTCCATAACAGTAATAAGCATTTCATGACCATATACAGTTTTCTTTTTAAACATGCATATATTTTAATAGGCATTGCTAGATAAAAGTTAAAAAAGGGCTTTAACAATAAAATTATTATCCAGATGGGAACATATATCTACACTCTTTGCCCAGATGGGTATGACTTGTTCAATTCTAGTTGCAAAGGAGCTTTGATTAGCATTTTATTTCTCTTGAATATTACCATACCATACCAAAAAGTACTCTTATTTTTGCTCATTACATCTTTCTCTCTCTATTCTAACAGATAATGAAAGAATGGAAATGGACTTTTCTTACAATTCCTGCTGCCCTGAATTTGTGTATTTCTTCCCACCTGAGAAGGAGCTGGAGTATTTTATATTTTGATTTGTATTATTTTTTCATTCTCATATTATTTTACTTTAATTATTTTTGTCAGTAATACTCACTGAGAATACATTTATCATTATAACCTATGTTTGCAAGTGTTAAATTGACTCTTTTTTGTTAATTTTTTATTGTTGTTCAATTACAGTTACCCCCATTGCTCTCTCCTGCCCACCCCACCCTCCCACCTGTAGTCCTCCCCCCAAACCCCCCACCATTGTCTTTGTCCATGGGTCCTTTATACATGTTCCTTGACTTGACCCTTTAAGTTGACTTTTGGAGCTGGGTTTTGAGTATGTACTTAAGAAGCTGGGCAGAATTTCACAGATGGTGATTAATCAAAAAGCGAAAAATAGAAAACCTCATCTTCTGGGAGTTTGTCCCCAACTTCAAACTTTGATCTGAATTTAAACTGATGTGGACATCTTTACATTTTGTCATGGTTTTGATTGTATAGTATGAGTTTAAAAAATCAGTATAAGTTTTGACAATGTAAAGTCAACATACTGAAAGTAGAATTGAATTAATAGGACATAAATTTAATGAGATAGAAAAGTATGCTAACTGAAGGCAGGACTATACCATGACAAAAGTTATTCATGCACAATATGTGATTATTGTGGAGATGTTGTATCCTTTTGGGCTGAACTTGGAGCTCAAAGTCCCTACATCTATATTCTGGTTATATGTCATTTAGTAACTCAAGAACCAATTTAATTCTTATTTCTGTCTTTGAAGATTAGAAGCAGTGATGTAGCTAAGGGTTCTCTTGAAGTGTCATAAAAAAACAATAATAAGGTTAAATGATTAACTATTGAGTTAAAGCAATAAAACACCCAAGCTCAAACTTCTGATTCACCACTATCAATTTAGTATTTCCTAAAATTTATTCTCTGGTGACATAAAAAAGGCAAAATTATTAAGTGACATAGTTATGAAATATCAAATTTTGTGACTTTTTATGAAAGGAAGGAATCTATTTTATGTGTATTGAAATAAATTCTGTAGAATTAAAAAATACTTTATATCATATAATATTTATCTTTCAGCTAATATGATCTTACCTGCCTATAAATTCAACCAACCTTTCTTCTCTCATTTCTCTTTCTCCCTTTCTTCTTCCTTTCCTTCCATCTATTCTTTCATTTAACTGACCACATATTGTATTTAATAAGTGTCCCTTCTTTAGGAACTGTGCTAAGTAAGGGCCACGCTGCCACCTACAAAGACATCTTGGGAAGAAATGATAATATAGTATCAGCAGCCAATACTGTGACTCCATTGTTATTTTGGCCAACTAAATTAAGCCAAAATACTTGAGTCATTCTTCTTAAATAGTTGAACCAGTTCTGAATTAGTTATAAACTACAATTCTTTTCATTCAAACCTGTATTTGAAAGGGCCTTATGTAACTAGCACAAAGCAGATGCTGTATACAATCCCTTGATTCAGGTTTAAATTCAATACATTTTATTAAGCAAGTTGAATTTTCCAATCATAGGAATGTCCATGCTTCTGTTACATCAGTCTGTCCATCATCCATCTCTGTGGCTATCTAGCTGTCATCTGGTTATTATTTTATTTTTACAAAAGAAAGTAAAGTTTACAGAGGGCTTGTCCAATGTCACATGACTAATATAAGAAACCAAATCCAAGTTCAAGCATTTTGATTCTAGGCTCTCCCCATAGCACAGTAGGATTTGAGATTTGCTACAATGATATTCCATTTATAAGACAATGTAGCATAGCAATAAAGGCATGGCTTTGGGAATCAAGCTTGGGTTTAAATCTGGCTGTTTTATTCACTATCTCTGTGACCTTGAGAAAGTTAATTAATCTCATGGAGTCTCAGTGTATTAATCTATAGACCAAAGCTAATAATATTTACCTGTGAGGTTATTGTGATAGTCTATGTAAAGTAACACAAAATGTACTTAGTAAGTATTAACTGCGATTGATTCTTTATCCAGACTTATCTCTAACTACATGATATGAGTTCTCAATTTCAACTCTAAACTGGCTTCCTTGCTGTGTGGGTTTAAATGTCATGGACAGAATCAACTTCAGATCCCTGACTGTTATTCTTGTTTATAATACCTCATGATTATGTTTGCCTATGCAAAACCTACTCATCTCTCACATGTTCAAATCTCACTTTGTCCTTAAGTCTGGAACAATTTAAGTATCTATGGTCTCTTCTTACCTTTACCCAAAACTCAGAAGTCATATAGTGCTCATTTTGAAGAGTATTGTATTATTTCTTAAATATTTTTATTATGTATTTTTTCCCTTAACAAAATTTTATTTTATGGTGGTCAGGACCCTTTTCTTATATTTTATTCACAGGTCCCATAGCACTAGTGCAGTACTTGACACCAAGAAAGATGCAATTTATTTGGTAAATTCTCAACAAAGGAACAATTTGTGTACAAGATCAGCCATTGAAAATTTCAGCAAATGTGATAGAAAGCTTTTTGTTTCCATGTTGTTGTTCATCTTAGGAATTTTCATATTAAACTTTTCTGATTTAAAAATGTTATATCCAGGCAGAATAATATATCCAGACAGTTTACTACAATAATGTTTATTGAGGCTCTACATGTGAAAATAGTAAAGTAACAAAATGACTGGAAACAAAATTTTTCTCAATTAGGAATGATCTTTGTACAATAAGTTTGACATCTGGTATGGAGGCAGTATATGTCAGTATAAAATGCTTTCAATACTCTTTAATTTACAGAAAAGTATCCATTGTATATTAAATTCACCCAAAATAATAAGCTCTATAACATCGAATATTCTGGATCGTGATTCAGTGACACACTGATTTTTAACAAGTGCTTTTATCTTTGTTTTTTTATTGTCCTAAATAAACACGTATCTCTATATTATGTAATGGGGTTATATTGAGGATAGAATTAAACCTCAAAATAAATTTCTTAGGAACTCTGTAAAAAATGTTGCATGTGGAGAAATGGTATGTTTTATTGTAACTATAGTAATTACTGAAAAGCTCTATCGGATCCTTATGTAAAACAAATATGTGGTATTAATATGCTTTATGAGTGGGTGGCATAGACCCAGTTCTTGTCTACATATAAGGCGTAATTTTAGACATACACCTTTTGCATTGGAAGAAATGAACTTCTACGCCACCTCCATCCTGTTGTAGAACCAGTGCTTTTATTCAGTGCTGCCGCTGCAACTCAGCGCAAAACAAAACAAACAAAAAATCTCAAGTTGCGATGCTCCCAAGAAAGGATGTGCTAAGGTGATGCAGAGAGGTATGCCAAGTCATGCCAAGATCTTGGAGCTGGAGAGAGATTAAAACAACAACAACAACAACAGGAAAATGTTAGAGTTAGAAGATTGAGCTTCCATCAGAAACCATATTTATCCAAATTCTCACTCAAGGAAGGAGAAAATTTTATATGTAAATGTGTATATGTGCTTTATAAGTGGATTTGGTCTATGAAATATGTAAAAATTCAGATGGAGTTGAATCTATTCACATGTTTACTGTCTGCAAGAATGACTTTTAAAAATTAAATAATTGATGATGAAATCCAGGTTATGAGGACACCATCAGAACTACTTAAGGCAACAAAACTTATCAACATCCTCAGTAATTAGAAGCACATTCAAGTGGAATTTGTTAAGATAATTGTAATTATTGAGGAACCTTAAGGATCTGTGTAAGATATACCTTGGTTGATACACTTTTAATTACTATGAATACTTAAATGTTTCATTGCTATCTTTAAAATATTTGTACTCACCTTTTCCATTAATCTAGGCTACTGCTGAATTCTTTGTTAATTTAAAATATCTCTAGGCTCATCCCATGGATAAAAGCGTTTTCTGTTTCATTTTTGTCCTTAGGCTATCTTTTCTTTTTATTATCTCCAATGCTTTTTTTAAATAAAAATAATGTGTACAGTATGTAATTTTAAGAGCTTTTATAATGTTTTTAATACTCAACCACATCATCAACTCCTTGTGGGCAGGACCTGTACCTATCTCCTGTACCTGTGGAGTCCAGCAGCGTGCTAAGCACAGAGTTGTCAATAAAAACTTGGTGGAGAGTCTAAGTGACCAGATTGCAGACTCTGTCAGTGATATTTAAGACAACTAGGTATGCACGCTGTAAGTAAGGATTGAGAGTTGATTTTCTATTTACTTTTGCTCTTCAATATTGTGCCATTTTGGTCATCCTTTAAATTTGAGTTTTCTTTAGACTTATTGAAGAAAGCAAGTGTAAATATTTGTTGAATATGAGATAATTGTTCTTAGAAAAAATAAATAAGATAAATGTAAGCCTGCTACATAAAATAACTTGTCTTTTAGTCAACTATGTCATTTCTTACCTTGGTGTAAGACCTGAATTTCAACCCTATGTTAATGGGCAGAAGTAGCAGACAAAACTGAGAAAGAGTGACACAACCTCGTGAGAGTGACCTTGCAAATTTCTATGTTTATCTCACTTAGGCTCAGTTTCCTTACTTACAAAAGAGAATGATACCTATCTTGTGGATTTGCTGCAAAGATTAAAGACAATATGTGTGAGGCCATTGTTTTAAGACACAATAAATTCCCTGAGGTAAAAGATGGTCCAAAAATAAGTCATTTACATGGTGCCTCAATTTTGAGTAAATGGTTGGAATTTAGATGTGAGAGAGAGAAATCATGTGTGTGTGCGAAGCAGCACTTGGACATAATAGAGCCCCAAGCATTTTACAAGTTCTTTACAAATCTCCATCCATCCTTTAAAGTTAACTTGAATTACTATCAGCCAGCTGTTGAACCAATGTGATTTCCTCTGTGGGTGCCAGCAAGACCATTCCTGCTTGCAAATGAAAAGGTGACTTTGGAATAAATGTCCTAGATCATAACTCACAAGCAGGAGTTTGCTAAGTTAAAGAGGGAACAGCCTGAGGCAAGAGTCCCCATTGATACTCAGAGCAAGATGTGGGCTGTGAGATAAGAAGGAGTCAAAAAGAAGAGGGATAATTGCCAAGAAAAACTGTATCATCTGAGCCTGTTTCAGGATGGTCTCTGGACTGGAGCATGGTACCAGGGCCTGTTGGCATCAGCACTGTCTCCCAGGGAATCCGTTCGTGAGATGAAGGGGTGAAGCTCTATGGTTGGCCTATGGGGTCAGCATAGTAGGCTTACAAAACCCAGTGACTGTGCTGCTCTTAACTTACCACACAACTACTGCCATGTTGGAAAATCCACCCTTTGGGAAAATGACAGACGCTAAAATGGAGACTCAGCGATTTAGTGTAGTGCTTGCCAAACTTGCCCCATCATACCAATCACCCAGAGTTTGTTAAAATAGAAAACCCTAGTCCCTTCCATGAAGGTCATGAGTCAGAAAATGGCATAGGACCTGGGATTTTGTATTTCTAAAAAATAAGCTCCTTCCAG